GGGGGGGGGGGGAGGTTTGAGGGTGTGACAAGGAGGTGGGGTCAGTATATGGCACTTAAGAATCGAGTTTGAAGGACTTATAAATGAAGTATGTCAGATTGACCAATGCGGGTTGGCAAAACTCGATGACACTTCAGACGACCGGAAAGAAATCAGTGGTCAATTAATTTTGTGACTCATTATAATTTTTGTATTTTTATATTTCAAATGTTTTTAAATTTTTTATTTTTATACGCAGATATTTGAAAAGAAAATGTAAGAGATTTTTATAGGTTTATTTTTATCTATCAAATTATAAAATATAAAAAGTTTATGTTGAATGCGTATGCAGGACTCTTCAATTATCTTATGTTAATTTTAGGCTGAATATTATGCAGATACTTAAAGTTGCCATAATTTTTTATTTAAATATTTCAATTAGGTTTTGTTCCGATTAAATATTTGCAGTATACCAAAGTATACCAAGTTGACGTATTTTGCTAACCCAAAAAAAAAAACTCAAAGCGTGTTTCGACACGCTCTCCTTACGTCCAATTAAATGGTTGATTACACTTGAAGCAGGTCAATTTAACATCTTTGTTGGACAGATTTCCATACTGCATTTTAAGTTCATCTTTCATACCAAAGTAATTTAATTGGTTAATTGTTCTACGTACAGAGCGCTTACTAGCACAAGCTTAAGGTATCTCAAGGCAGCGCATAATGTGTCTGATTGGTACTTTGGGTATACTATAGGTATTCAATCGAAACAAGGCCTAGTTAAGATGTCTAAATAAAAAATTGTGATAATTTTAGGTGTTTCTGTTATAATCTATATACGAAGAATTCTAGAAACTTAAACAATGTAAAACAGAAACGTAGAAGAATTAGAATAATATTCGAGCTCACTGAATTTATAGTGTTTCCTTAAGGAACTTAATCCCCTCCTAGTACCCGAGGTTTAGGATTATCTCCTTCCAGGATAGAACGGACAACCTCACTGGTATAACAGTACTTCAAACCCCAGCGCCGAACGAACGCAAAGGTCAGTAGCAAATCACACTTACTTTTGTTTACTTTCTATTAGAAAATAATGTAGAAGAAGACGGAGAATTCAGAATTTTTCGTAAGACAAAATTTGAGAGAATATCCTAGTATCTTCATCCAACATGTTGGGTTTAAACTAAGAAGTGCAACTCTTCCAGAAGGCCTTGCGTAAAACAGCTACTACGAAAATGGCTATTTATGTAAAATAAAACGGAAAAATAAAATCGGAGGAAAAGGTAAATTACCGTTACAAAAATGGTCATTAAATATTAATAAAATATTAATATTGATAAATAAATTTGGTTCAAAAAACTAATCAATTAATCATATTATAATCATAATCCAAAGTAGAAATTGAAGTCGAAGCCGAGGGACAACGACGACGACGCGAGACTTGCCTTCTTCTCAACTCTTTAAGAGATAGAAGAAGAGAAATTTTATATAATCCCTCCAAATATCTTTTTCTCCTCCAATATGAGACAATGCTCCTTGTATAGAAGGAAAATTCAAAATTTTATTTTTTCTCCATTTCTCATTCACATTGTATTTGAACTAAAAACCCCCAACAATCCCCCACATGAATGGGGAATGGCTATACAACGAAAATATGCACGAAAAACTATGTGATTCACAAGAAAGGATTAATCGCATCTGGATTAGTAGATTTCCTTTTGAACTTGCCGTAGTGAACTTATGTAGGATATACTCGGTTAATCGGTAGATTTGATATATTTGAATAGTCCAACGTTGGTGTATACCTAGACAACCATAAGTCACACAATTAATCTTTAACCGTCTTTGGTTCTTATTGTTGTGTTCGTTTCAGCCATGAATACCGCTTGATTTCATAAATACGTAGAGAACTGGCCTTACAGAATTTTCCTTGAAGCGGCTAATACTTCATATTACATAGGTAATTCCGAAACGTATCATCCCATAAGTACACTATTCAATATACCCCATATCAAACTTAAAAATTATTAAAAACTCCTAATGCTTTATTCTTGGTGTTGAACATTGTCCCATTACAAGAGTAGACTAAATTATTTTATTTTAGAATGTTGAACCGTCCTGATTTTTTTATATTCTTGAACCTAGATGTTGGGATCTCCAGTTTTCTAGGTAAAGTTACCGCCACAATGACTTGTCCTTGGCCATAATCTCATTTCTCTTGATGATCTCTCAATTACCTCTATAGTTAGGCCTTTTGTAAGTGGATCCGACATATTATCGGTTGGCTTCACGTAGTCAATTGTGATAATTCTCTTAGAGAGTAGTTGCCTAATGATTTTATATCTTCATCGTATATGACGAGGGATCAATATACCGAGGGATCAACATGCCCTCGAAAGGACTAATATACTCAGGGATCAACTTGCCCCTCTTCTGAAATCTCATCACACCCTTCATGGGTGAAATTCAGAGTAGAACCTTCTCACCTTCCATAAAAGTTACATCTCGAACCTTTCTATCAGCATAACTCTTCTGTCTGGATTGCGCTATGCAAAGTCGCTCTTGAATAAATTTCACTTCTTCAAAGCATCATGAACCAAATCTGCGCCCAACAATCTAGCCTCACCCGACTCAAACCAGCCAACTAGAGAACGACGTTGCCTCTCATATAAGGCCTCATACGGATCCATCTGGATGCTCTACTGGTAGTTGTTGTTGTATGCAAACTCTGCTAATGGAAGAAACTGATCTCACTGACTTTCGAAATCTATGACACATGCTCTCAACATCTGAATAGTCCGCTCGGACTGCCCATCTGTCTGAGGGTAAAATGTGGTGCTCAACTCAACCTTTGTGACCAACTCACACTGAATTACTCTCCAGAAATATGAAGTAAATCGAGTGCCTCGACTAGTGTTAATAGACACAAGAACACCATGCAAGCATGCAATCTCTCTGATGTAGATCTTAGCCAGCTGAGTGTAGGAAGTCATGACTAGAATAAAATGTGGAGACTTGGTTAGTCTGTCCACAATGACCCAAACAACGCCAAATCTCCTCAAATGTCCTTGGCAAACTAACTACAAAGTCAATAATGACGCGTTCTCACTTCCACTCCGGTATCTCAATATTATGAAGCAACCCGCCAGGTCTCTGATGCTCATACTTGACCTGCTGACAATTTAAACACTGAGCAACATATCCAACAATATCTTTCTTCATCCTCCGCCACCAATAATGTTGTTTTAAATTATGGTACATCTTCGTATCACCCGGATGGATAAAATATCGCGAACTATGAGCCTCCTCAATAATCAACTCTCTCAACCCATCTGCATTAAGAACACAAATCCCGCGAAGCCGTAATGCACAATCATCACCAATAGACACTTCCTTAGCACCACCTCGCTGCACTATGTCCTTGAGGAAAAACAAGTGGGGATCATCATATTGACGAGCCTTGATGCACTCAAACAAAGATGATTGGGATACAACACTAGCAAGAACCCTGCTAGGCTCCCATATATCCAATCTCATGAACCTGTTAACCAAAGCCTAAACATACATAGCCAAGGGCCTCTCCCCAGCTAGAATAAATATTAAAATGCACATACTCTTCCCCTTTCTACTCAAGGCGTCTTCTACCATATTGGCCTTTCCCGAATGATAAAGAATGGTGATATCATAGTCCCTCAGTAGCTCCAACCACCTCCACTGCCTCAAGTTCAAATCATTTTGCTTGAATAGATGTTGAAGACTCTGATGATCCGTATACATCTTACAAGACACGTCATATAAGTAATGCCTCCAAATCTTGAGCGCGTGTACAATATCTGCTAACTCTAAATCAAACACTGGATAGTTCTTTTCATGGGCTTCAACTGGCACGACGCGTAGGCAATCACCCTACTGCTCTGCATCAACATATACCCAATGCCAACCCACAAAGCATTACAATATATTGTTTATGACCCCGATCTTGAAGGCAGAACCAATACTGGAGCCATAGTCAAAGCTATCTTAAGCTTCTGAAAGCTCTCCTCACACTCATCCGACCACCTGAATGGAGCACCCTTCTAAGTCAACTTAGTCAATGAGGCTATAATAGATGAAAATCATTCTACGAAGCGACGATAGTAACCAGCCAAACCCAAGAAGATCTTAATCTCTATAACGGTAGAAAGTTTGGGCCAACTCTAAACTACCTCAATCTTCTTCGGGTCCACCTTGATCCCATCACTAGATACCACATGATCCAAGAATGCCACCGAGTTTAACCAAAACTTACATTTTGAGAACTTAGAATATTGTTTCTTCTCTCTCAAAGTCTGGATCACGATCCTTAAATATTGCTCATGCTCCTTCCTACTACAGGAATATACCAATATATCATCAATGAACAAAATGACAAGCGAATCCAAGTAAGGCTGGAGCACACTGTTCATCAAGTGCATAAAAGTTGTTGGGCCATTAGTCAACCCAAACGACATCACCAAAAACTCATAATGCCCATAACAAGTACGAAAGCAGTTTTAGGGATGTCCGAAGCCCTAATCTTCAATAGGTGATACCCTGATCTCAAGTCAATATTCTAGAACAGTCTAGCACCCTGTAGCTGATCAAATAAGTCATCAATGTGCGGCAATGGATACTTGTTCTTGATGGTCACCTGCCCAACTGTCGATAGTCAATATACATTCTCATATACCCATCCTCTTTCTTAACAAACAACACTGGCGCACCTTAAGGTGAAACACTAGGCCTGATGAACCCCTTATCAAACAACTCTTGTAACTGCTCCTTCAATTC